GATTCCCACCACGCTCCACCAGAATAAATTAATTCAAGTCTTCTGTAACTAGGCGTAGTAAATAATTGTGAGGGTATTATTTTTTAAAGTACCATCTTTGTAGCGTGTCGTGGCAAGACTAGAGGCTTTAAAAAAATGACTGTTTACGGAAATGGTGACGTTATACATGACACGACAATTGAGATATGTAAAAGATACAGCATTAAAAGCCACTCCATTAGGCAGTTTGACGTAACAGCTGGTGGTACAGTCATTATTGTCCAATGCAGCCACCAATGTAGAGGAGAAAGTACATGGAGTTGTCTTCGACAGGCACACGTCTCAGACAGTGTCATTAAGATATTTGTATTGAAAAAACCCGCAGGGAGTAAAGCAGGAAGTCATGGTCGTTTGCACTTGTGGTTGTCTTGGACAGGTGGCCGTTACAGCAGGTTTGACTGTACTTTGTATTTTACAGTAGTAAAACGCAACCGACCATGTCTGTTTAGGTGTTTGTGGGAGATATCTATTTTGTTATTGTGTCGTTTTGACCGATTCCATATTTTTTCCCCGTACTTTACACTTAAAATTAACGACTTAGGCGTTAGAGCTGTGCCCAATCGACTTAATCACTAAACGTTCACGACTTTCCAGCTATTCATTGTTATTCCTACAGACAATGGATTTTCGTCTCATTTTTTTTATCAACGCTGAGTGGAGTGGCTTTTAATACTGGTATCTTTTACACAGCTCTTAGAAAATTCGATTGCCACGCCATGTATAATTTCATCATTTCCGTGAACAATCCTCTTTTCAGCCTCTTGCCAATAAGCGCTACGAAGAAGGTACTTTAAAACATGATATTCTCTCATACCATTCTACCAAAAACAGTGAGGTTAACGCAGAACTACTCTTTACTATATGGTCGCGAAACAGAGTGTTGGAGCCAAAAAGAGTTATACATATAAAGTATGCTTGAAAGAAGTTGTTCTCCCTTTCCCATATTGGAAATTCAGAGCATTGGAGATGTGATATCATATACCTCACGGCGGGCGTGCCATTGCGCACTCAGTGAATAGCGCTGAGAAATGTGAATATTGAATAGTGAATGTGGCTGATGGACTTATATAGACGTAAGAAAACGTTTGTACACGGTCACACTATTCGAATAGCACAAAAAGTGACTTCACCTTCCGAAGCGCCAGTGAAGTTTCGTTTCCTCAAAATCAAATTGAACTGTTGAGTGTGGCTATTATATTTCTTGTACAAGTTGGTTGATTAAAAATACTGACGAGAAAAGAAAAATTCTCATTCCTAGCTATTAAATTGAGTCTGGTATTCGTACTTTCTTGATGCAAACCCAAAAACCCATGATGATGATGATGATGATGATGATGATGATGATGAAGATGATGATGATGATGATGATGATGATGATGATGATGATGATGATGATGATGA